CTTCCACTGAAATTGTCCTTCCTTGAGGCCAAAGGGGCTGCATGGTCCATGCCCTGACAGGGGCATGTAAACAAGGCATCAGGAAACAAGTGGAAGGACACACTGCTATCATTTTAAGATAGTTTTCCCACACTAGGAATGTCAATGCTGTTTCCGTGTGAATCTCAGAAAATAGGCGGTGCCCTTTGCTTCGCACAGTGGAGGGAAGGGGCTTCCTAACAGGCCCCTCCCTGCTCTGAGAGCAAAGCCGGGGCTGGGCCTCTGCCTGCAAAACACAGGCCAAGAGAATTTTCTCTAGTATTTCTGTGCTGAGGAACAAACCTAGGGATATTGGTTCTCAGGAAGATATTTGTGGTCAGGTCAGGTCTAACTTTTGGACCTAAACCTGAGGACCCAGACGGGAGAGATCTGTGTACCTTTCAGAGCTAGAGTTTATTGTGAGTGAGGATAGAACGTCCACAGGACCTAGGAGAAAAGGTTTTTAGGGCAGCTGAAGCTCCACTCTGAAGGAGGCTTATGGTCCCAAGATGTAGGATCTCCTTTTGATCAACAGCAAGCAGATGGAAGACCCTCAAGCCTGGCATACAGAGGCCTGGCTGGATTTATGGTTAGCTGATTAATGGGAAGCAACATGTTCTGTAAGGAGAAGAGACAGCATCAGTCACCAATGTGTCCCCCATTCCAACTCCAGGTCCACATGGAAGGGAAACTTTCATCGACCCATGCCCACCAAGGGCTGGGAGCATTCACATGAAAACTCTTTCTAAATGGTAGTTAATTATTCGCTTCTTATTGTCTTCCATTTGCTAGACTGTGAGTTCTATGAGGCCAGGGACTGTAACATTTTATTTGCAAATGGAGTGAAGGTGGTCTCAGGTCTAGGGTACTGGATTGGGTGGAGATCTTGGAAGAAGCTAGAGTGACTTGGTAGGCACAGCCTGCTTGGTAGGTGGCCCCTTCTGCTGTCCCACCTCTCTTGGGGTACAGTAACGGTCATCATTATTTCATTACCTTTAAGCATTTTCACAGCATGTGCAGACACCAGCAGGCTTCACCAGGGGATCCAGGGGTGGCCTCTTTTCGCCACTTGCCAATTCTGAAGAGTCTTCCTTGAATGGACCAGACACTCACTCATGAGGCTTTTCAACAATTTCACATCCAACTGGCCAAGGATTTCACAAATCAGAGGACATACCTGAGCCATAAGCACAGAAAGAAGGGTAAGGCCAGGGACTGGGAAAAGAAAACTGGGCATCTTGTGGCTGGAAGCTTCAACTCCACTGGATTTCCCATGGGAATCATGACAAGAATAGTTCCCCTGTACTGAGTTCAAATTTCCTGCTAAATGCCACCCATAGCACTTTTGTCCTGAATCTTCATGTCAACTCCGTGAAATAGGAACTGTAATGGTTCCCACTCTATAGATGTGGAACAGAGGCTCACAGAGGCTGAGTCTCCTACCCAAGGGATACACTGACAAAACTGATGGAAAACTCATTTTTTTTTTTGAGACAAAGCCTCAAGCTGTCACCCTGGGTAGAGTGCTGTGGCATCACAGCTCACAGCAACCTCCAATTCCTGGGCTTAAGTGATTCTCTTGCCCCAGACTCTCAAGTAGCTAGGACTACAGGCGCCCACCACAATGCCCAGCTATTTTTTGGTTGTAGTTGTCATTGTTGTTTGGCGGGCCCAGGCTGGATTCAAACCCACCAGCTCCAGTGTATGTGGCTGGTGCCTTAGCTGCTTGAGCTACAGGCGCCAAGCCAGAAAACTAAAAATCTTAATTGAGTTTTTTTAGGGTCTAAAGACCAAGGTTTGAAATCCTTTGCTAAATTCCCAATATGTATGCCCTGAACCTCAGACTCAACGATCCTCAAGGAGCAAATATTTTTCTCAGACTTACCTGACCTTCTACCAGGTGTGGGATAATTTTTCTCAGGTTCTCTTTGAGGTTGAAGAGCATATGCCTCATCCTGGGTGGAATGGTGCTAGAAAGAGAAATGGATGTGATAGAAGAGAACAGATAAATCCAGGAACTATTAACACCAGGTGGTATGAGCTGAATACACTTTACACAACTTTAAAATCCTCACCCAGCCCTATACAAGAGGTATATCTGAAGAATAAACAGACACCCATTGAGATCTTAATTGCTTTCAGCATTTTGGAATCACAGAGATAAATCAGACACAAATCTTGCTTTCAAGGGACTCACTGGTTAGGAAAGGACTTTTAGTCAGGAGCTTCGTGAAAGCTCAATTTTCTGTCTTGTCCACTACTGTAGCCTAGCATCAGACATAATGTATATAGTAGATTATTGGGAAATACATGAATGAATGACTGATGAGGAGGAGGAGCTTCAGAGAAGGCAATAAGGGCATTTCAGGCAAAGGGATCAGCAGGTACAAAAGCACAGTGATGTGCAAATAGTTAACTCTCTGGCGGGGCGGGTCCTTCAGAGAGGCTGGAGGGAAGAGGGATGCAGAGTTGGACAGAAATGAGGACAAGCAGGGTCAGGGGTGACATTTGAGAGTTTGCTATTCATCTAGGGGGCATTGGAAAGCACTGGGGGTTTTGGATCAGGGGCTTAACTCTCTGTGTTAGAAAGTTACTCCTGTAGCAGGGTGGGGAATAGAGGGTAGGAGGTGAGGTCAGAGCCAGGAAAAGCTAGGAGGGGGCCCCTGCAATGGTCCAGATAGTGGAATAGGAGCTGAGACTGTGGTCACAGGGATGAGCCAAAAGGGAGCAACTGAGGGTGACTAGGAGGTTGTTGGGAACTAGTGATGATGGGCCGTGGGAAGTGAGGAAGAAGAGTATGGCTTCTGGAAAGGTGGCAGGGCCATCTCTGTATGGGGGCACAGGAGAAGGAGCAGATCCTGGGTGAAGGATGAGATCTGATTTGAATTCATCTAGGAAACTGTGGGAAAGTAAGGCCGCAGCTAGGGCCTGTCAGGAAGGGGCCCCAGTCCTGGGACAAGAGGGGGCAGCTGAGGTCTTACTCAGTGAGGATGGTCACAAAGACACTGCTGGGCTCTGTGTGGCATTTGCCTATCACCAGATCTCCTCGGCCAAACTCGTCTTTCTCCAGCCAGAACACCACGATGAGGTACATGTGTACATGCATGTTTACGATGTTATTTAAAGCCCTGCAGATGAGAGTGAGGATGAGGGTGAGGAGAGGAAAGGGGAGGACGTAAAGAAAGAATAGAAGGAGACAGAAGCAACCAACACAAAGAGTGGCTCTCCATGTGGGCAAAGATGGGCTCTGTCCCCATCAGAGCTTCCTCTGAGTCATTTCAACAAACCTAGCCCGATGGAAGCCTGAAGTCAGTGATTAAGGAAAAAACTACTGTTATGCAGACTGATTTTAGAAAACGCCTTAAATAGACCAGATTAGGAGGCTTTGGATATTCAAATGCTGAGAGTTAATCTCTTATTTTAAAAATCTCTGCCTGCACGGTGACTCTCGCCTATAATCCTAGCACTCTGGGAGGCTGGGGCAGAAGAATCAGTTAAGCTCAGGAGTTCAAGACCAGCCTGAGCAAGAGCGAGAGACCTTGTCTCTACCAGAAATAGAAAAATTACCCAGGCGTGGTGGCACATGCCTGTAGTCACAACTATTTGGGAGGCTGAGACAGGAGGATTGCTCAAGCCCAGGGGTTTGAGGTTGCAGTGAACTGTGATTGATTCCACAGCACTCTAGCCCAGATGACAGAGCAAGACTTTGTCTCAAAAAAAAAAAAAAA